ACACACACACACACACACACACACACACACACACACACACACACACACACACACAGAAAAGCATGTTTGTTTGAGGACCATCCACAGAGAAACACACTACTAGAGTTTTGTCTTTTGATCGCTTGTTCACATCTTTCACGGGTTCTGAAATGTCCTCCTTGATGACTGAAGTCCTTGAAATCAAGAATGAGCTGTGGCAACATGCTAACAATGCACAGTCATGACAAGCATTCGTTCCATGTGTGGTTGTGTGTACACACGCAGGAAAAGAGATGCATTTCAACAGCCTCCACTCTAACCTCTGCATGCAGGTTTATTATTACAACTCCAAAATGCTTCTCTTTCTAAATTAGTTTTGGGAGGGAAAAAAGGGGGAAAAAAGGAGGAGCAAAAAAAAAAAAAGAGGAAAGGAGAGGAAGTAGAGAGAGGACAAGACATTGGCGAGAAGGTGGCTGAAGCTAGAGCGAGCTGGCGTTTTATCTCCTTCTCCCAGTCCCAGTGAAAAGCGTTATTTTATTTATAAACTTTGAACTATTTTGAGATAAAATGCCATTTTTTCGCTGTCATCCTTGATCTTCCGTTCCATTCTCTCCTGAGCGAGCCTTAGAGGGAGACGGCACGCTCACAATCAGATAGCGCTATCAGCCCTCTGCAGCTGCACCGCCATGTGCCGCTGTGCTCCTATCGGCAGCCAGCACACATACAGGCGTACACACAAGCTCCTAAGCACTGAAATGAATTCCCCTTTTCTTCTGTATCCACAGAACTAGCCACAGAAAGGGCTCTGCAATGCACTCCATGATCTATCTGCACATCCAGACGCTCTTTCTCTCTTTCGTCCGCGCGTACACAAACATGGAGAGATTTGGTCCTTTATTTCATTTTTCTTTCTTTTTTTAAGTCCCTCTAATACAGACACACACAGACCGTTAAAGAAGACAGGACAAAAGGACAAGAGGAGAAGCAGCACTGACATTTAGTTGGGAATAACTTGCGTCTCCAAAAACTGAAAGTTTAAAACTCGGACTGGTCTGACAGAGTTTATCTCACGAGTTGCCATCTTTTATTTCCTCCCTTATTAGCTCTGCTCTCTTTTGCAGTCTAAGCTGGGGGGTTTTTTTTTCAAATCACCCTTTGTTCTTTTCTCTTTTGTCCCACTCTTTGCTCCCTATTAATGTCACATTCTCCTGTTTTCTCCATTGTAAGCAGTGTTTATCTGAGGAGGCAGTGCTTCTATCCCCATCTCTGCCACTCTGCCAGTGTGTCTGCAGCCTGATAACCCACCGAAGGGGATTGCGATGCTCAACGATGTTGTGGCACTGTCAGCCCACCCACCTCCCAATCTCTGTTCCTGTAGCCACCATGCAGCCCCTCACCTGCCCTCAGGCACAAGGAGAATGCTTCAGAGCACCCGTGCGCCCTCATCTCAGATCTGCTCCTTCCATCCTCCAAAATATACAGTAAGTGAATGACTAATCAAAAACATTCACCTGCACTCAGACTCGTGTCAGTTTAATTGAGTCATCACTCATATTCATTCACTGATAACAGGCTTTATTTTCTATTAATAGGCATGGAAATACCAAGCTCATGTAAACGAAGCCAATGGAAAAACCCTACAAAACCTGCGGTTCTGAGTCAATCCCCGTGGACTGCCATATTAACATCTCTAACTTTCTAGCAAAATTTAATATGTGAACAGGCTGATAACTGTATGCAGGATGTGTCTGAACTCGCCTGTTTGAACTGTATCAAGGCCTAAAGCTATGCTCTATCTACAGCCAACCAGTCTGCTGTCTATCTGCTGGGTTTAACCTCCACCAGTTCAACTCACTGAACTGGATCTCTTGACTGTTTTAATGTTTGTGCCATCTGGAGTTTTTAATGTGGTCACCTTAAGGTAACTGTTGTTGTGATTTGGCGATCTATCATTAAAAATAAATTAAACTAAATTAAAATTCTGGTATCGCATGTTCTTTATAAATAATAATAAATAAATAAACCAAGATGACAGCAGACACAATGCTAACTGTTGAAATAGTATTTTTGTCTCCAATTCCCAAATGCTCCAAAAACTTTCTCCTGTGTTCTGTGTTGGGTCACTACAATAAACCTAATAAATCCCCCATTTAAGAAAAGCTTGCCAGCTTGGTAACTTGTCTCCAGAATTTTGTTCAGAGGGTTTACAGACTTTTCAAAGCACCCATCAACAGAGATTTGAAAAGACTACAAAATAAAGACAGGGGGACAATCTTGTATCTGTTATCCTTCCTCCCAAGTGACACAAAGTGATAAATCCAGAGCTATAGAGCACAGTAACTCCAGCACAATAGCCTTGTCATCACATCCCTGGATATTTCAGGATCTACAGTCCCCTTTCTACTAAAACTCGAGTCAAGTCATTACAACTACACACACACACACACACACAGGTGTTTTAAGGTTAGAAAGCTCTCTCTCATTCAAACAAACGTGCACATATAGTTGTGTGGGAGCTAACAAAAATTACACCGACATGTTCTGCACCCTTGCATGTGCATATAGAGGCACACTGGTCAATTATAACATGGCACAGGTGCAGGCAAAGCCTTACAAACGCTAAAACCATCCTGGCAGTGTGGCAGTGCTGCAATCTTTAGCACTCTTCCCCCTTTTCTCTTTTCTACACCAGCCACCTCTTTTACTTCTTCCTTGCCTCTTTCCCTCCAACCCCCCACCCCCTCCCGTTCCTTTATCCTGAGCGCCTGGCATATTCAGATACTGAAGTCCTCATTACGGCTCAATCCAACCTCAGCAAACACACAAACAGATTAGCCGCTTAAGACGCTCCCAATCCCCCTCTCCCTCGCTACTCTGCTGTGCTATCAGGCCCCAGCACAACCCTGTGAGATGAGCCAGGGGCAAGGCTTACTGCAGACTGCAGCCTCCGCTTGCTCCTCCACAAAATCCCTCTGCGTCACAGCCCCGTGTCACAGCTGCCCCTAATACAATTAAAAGTCATTTGCAGAACGCACAGGCTTAGGGGATCACAGTGTGGGTGGGGGGTTAAATTGGGGAATGTGAGGAGGGGGG